CCCTAAACCCTAAACCCTAAGCCCTAAACCCTAAACCCTAAGCCCTCAGCCCTAAACCCTAAGCGCCAAGACGCTCAAGGAAAGTTGGGCCTCGAGACGGTGGCACCTCAGGCGCCCATCATGATTGCTTTGCTTTTGCTCTCGCTTTCGGTGGGTTTAGGGGTTTAGGGCTTTAGGGCTTTAGGGTTTAGGGTTTGGGGTTTAGGGTTTAGGGTTTGGGGGGTGGGGGGGGGGGGATGCTGCACTTGGGGGGGGGGGTTTGCGGGTTTTCGGGTTTTGTTTTTGTTTCGGGTTTTTTCATGTGGTGTTGGGTCTTTTTCTTTTTTTGGGTGTGTGCATGTTCTCCTTTGTGCGTTTTTTGTTTTTTGGGCTGGGGTTTTGGGAGGGGCTTGGGGTTTAAGGTTTTGGGGGTTGGGGGTCCAAGTCCCGAAGGCCCTACAAGGGCTGCCAGGCCATGGAGAGTGCTTGTTCTGCTCGAAGGCTCCGGCTCATAAGCCCTAACCCTAAACCCTAAACCCTAAACCCTCAACCCTAAACCCTCAACCCTAAACCCTAAACTCTAAACCCTAAACCCTAAACCCTAACCCCTATATGCTCTAAACTGCACGTTTAGGGTTTCGGATTCCTGGGGCTTAGGCTCAGTTAGGGTTGAGGGCTTGAGGGCATTTTTCTATAGAGTTCGTTCGCAAGCTTCCTAAAGTTGAAGGTCTTTGTGGTTTAGGCAACAGGGTACACCCTCCTCCGCCCGATGCCGCTTTACTGCGAGCGCGATGCTGCATCGATTCTTGCTGGCCATCTTCCCCCTTACAGCCGCGCAAGAAGATGGGTGCTGGGAGGAGATCCACGCTGGGCGGTGCTGCCCCATGGCTGATGACACACACAGCTGCTTCGATGAGGTGTTCACCTTCTCTCGGTGCTGCACTGCCTCCGGCCCTGTCCTGGCAGGTTGCAACTGCACGTCGCTGTACTTACAAGAGGTTGCAGCGTTCCTAAAGCAGCTGCCGCGCACGTCGATCGAGAAGGCTGATGTCGACCTCTGGCAGTGGCGATATCATCCACCTGAGTGTAGTGACGAGATCTTTGCCACGGCCTTGGACAATGCCAAGAACCAGAGCATGTGCTCACAATTGGAGAAGTTGCATTTTGTCGTGCTTTGCAGCCTGCAGCGGAGGTGGTGGAAGGACTACATCTCAGCTTCTTCGCTGGAAAGCCTCTATCGTTTCGCTTTTTTGTCTTAAGTGGGCACGAAGGGTCAAATCGCAAACCAGCAGCCCTAAGCCCGAAACCCTAAATTCTAAAACCCTAAAACCCTAAACCCTAAACCCTGAACCCTAAACCCTAAACCCTAAACCCTAAACCCTAAACCCTCAACCCTAAACCCTAAACCCTCAAGACAAAAATAAATAGAAATTGTATGTGGTATCATTCTGAATTTCCCACGTTATTTGTCTAAACAGCTGACAAGCCGAGTTTAAGTAAATTAGTTCATTTCGCTTTTTGCAAGTCGAATATCCAATTCACTTCAATTCAAAACCCCCGCAGACCCCCAGACACACCCCAGATCCCGCCCAGATCCCCAACAGCTGACAAGCCGAATTTAAGTAAATCAATTCAAATCGCTTTTGGCAAGCCGAATATTCAGTTCACTCCAGCAGACCCTCAGACACTTCCCAGATCCAGGCCCGGGAAGCTCCAAAAAGCCCCGACAGGGCCCAGGCCCCGAGGCCCTCAGAGACCCCAAACAAGAGAGGCCCCAAAACAGGAGACCATGAGACCTCAAAACGAGCCCCGAAAACTTCAAAACAGAACCCAAAACAGGGCCCGGGAGGCCCCAAAACAGGGCCCCTGAACAGGGCCGGGGAGGCAAAACACAAGGCCCCGGAAGAAGGGGCACCGCGAAACCCCCAAAACAGGGCCCCCTCCCAGAGGCCCCAAAACAGGAGGCCCCAAAACAAGGCCCCCCCCGACCCCCTCCCCTCCCACTCCCCCAAGACTTTCACCTTGATTGGGTCGGGGGTCGAGTCCTTTCACCTTACTTGGTGGGCGTAGAGTCCTTTCACCTTGATTGGGTCAGCATAGATTCCTTTCACCTTACTTGGTCCCCCCCCCCACCCACCACCCCCCCCGCCCCCACCCACCCCCAGGCGTTCACCGAAGACAAACCTCAGAAAAGTCTCAAACAGCTGATGAGAGAAGTCCTTACTTTCATTCGGGTCGACACCTCAGATGTCCAAGAACAAATGTTCAATCGCATGTTCCTTGAAAAGACTCCAGGTTCCACCTCTTCAAGCGGACGTTGCAGAACAACTGCAGAATGCGCTCTCCAAGCAGGCAAGATGCAGCGCCGAATCTCACTCTCAACAAGTAACATCCGAAAGGTCAAGATCGGCAAAGCGCCTCACGCCGAACAAGTGCCGTTACCGCGCAACCTGCTGACGAAAAGGCACTGCTTTTCGTAACGAGCACGTGCGCAAGACAATCAAATGCTCTAGTCAGGTGAAGCAAAAGAAGAACCAGCTGGGTCCTTTCGTTCCAGCACACCGCCACGGCGGACGACTGCAAGCCAACAATCGCTTCACCGAAATCTTTGAAAGCAGCACGTTCTCAGACACCTCCTTTAGGGCCCCCGAATTGCCCAGGCTTCACCTCCGTTAAAGTCCCGAGAGCTCCAGGCTTCACCTCCTTTTAGGGCCCCCCGACAGCTCCAGCCTTCACCTCCTTCAGTACCCAAAAGCTCCCTCTTCACCTCCATTAGGCGCCCCCCAAGAGCTCCAGGCTTCACCTCCTTTGGTGCCAAAGAGCACGCGGCATACTGTACATGAGAAGTGGAAGGCAGATCATCGAAGGGAAGTAAAAAATGAGAGACGGCAGCCTAGCGCCAGAGTGGTCCCAAGTCGTGCTAAAAGCTTATAGGCAGCGAGGTGCATACCACGAGTTAGCGTAAAAAGATGGATGTGACAGGTCATGCTCCGGTCACGATATCGGACAATCGCGTTGATCGCAGCGCTCCCGGCCTCGAGGTCCCCCCCCTCCGAGCTAAACTGCCACTGTTCGACCATGTTCTTCAACGAGCGCAGCAAGGAGGTCTTCGAGTACTATCGTTCGCTGGGCCGGGGGCTTGCGGCGGGAGCACATGGCGCAGCTGGCCAGGGTCGTGGCTGGCAGCGTTGCAGCCGAAGCGCGGCGCCCCGTTCACGTCGGCAACGGCTTCGAAGTGGACGAGGCAGCCTTTTCAACGCGAGGCTGGGACCCCCGACAGCGTTCCAGTACCTGAACGACGACGAGTAGACCGGTGTCGCAGATCTTGGTGATCCGAAAGGTGCCCGCAACACCCCTTGTGTTGCAGTGTAGTCTGCGTGCGCGGGGAATCACTCTGGAAGCCTCCTTCACCACGTTGAGCGGATCGAATCCCATGCCCTCGGCAAAATTCCTCAGCAGGCCCATCGTGCGCGCCCGGGACGTTGCCTGCCAGACGCGCAACTTCCGGTCCACTCGCCAGCAGTTGCAGATCATCTTGGAGGGCTTCCACGCCTTGCCCACGGACGATGCGGTGGTGTGATCCGAACGAATCAGAACCCGACCCTCCAAGACGAGACTCATCGGAAAGACCAACCTATCGAATGTCAACCTACGAGCCGTTCTGAGAGCTGCCTGCCAACGTAAGACGAGCTAACGCGATGAAAGATGGGTAATCGACCTATGAAGTACAGAGCACCTACTCTGCACCGAATGCCTGTTTTGATGCGCTTCAACAGTTGCAAGTTTCACCTGCTTGGCTTCCATGCGAGAGATCCAGGTTTCACATACCTCGGACCCTGAACCCTAAACCCTGAACCCTAAACCCTAAGCCGTAAACCTTAAACCCTAAACCCTAAACCCCAGCTGCGGCCCAAGGCTTGGCGCACGTCTCAAGCCTGGACCGAGATTCTGCGCCTGTCTGTGAGCCTTGTGACGTCGACTTGCGAGGGGCTTCTGAAGCCGCAAGAGGGCTGCTCTCAGGAGTTCAGTGGGGTTTACGGTTTAGAGTTTAGGGTTTAGGGATTAGGGATTAGGTTTGAAGGGTTTAGGGTTTAGGCTTCAGTGGGTAATCAGTCTTTGCTTCCCTGCTCTTGGATTGGATCCCGGAAGCCCAAAGCATTCTCCCTCTGGCTGGCAATTTGGGGAAGTGGGCCTTGTTGAGTGCATATGCCATATCAAGGTTTTGACAACTACCAGCACTTCCAACAGCTCCTCTTCTCCGTGGACGCGTACCGGCGCGGGGAAGAGCTGAGTTGGCAGCGCCGGCCCCCGCAAGCTGGTCCAGCAGCGGGGACGGCCGAGGCGGACGGAAGGTTTGAGGGTTTCAGGGTTTTAGGAGGGTTTTTAGGAGCTTCAAGGGTTTGAGGGCTTTATAGGGGTTTTAGGGTTTTAGGGGCTTAAAGGGTTTAGGGTTTACGGGTGTAGGCTCCTCCTGTAATAGTAGGGTTTTGCGTTTCAGGGCCGTTCCTGGTTTGAACAATCAGTTCAGACAGTTGCCAGAGGCATTCCTGCCTTCGCGGCATGGAACTTAGAACGCGCCAGGATTGTCGCGGAACCCGGCGCCCGACAATCCGCTGCGCCGTTCTGGCGCGCTTGCCGGAGGATCGGTCGTTGATCAGAGCTGCAAGGGCCACGTGGACTCAGGGCTGTGATTCGACCGAGGCTGCTTCCTTGTTCTTGGAGAAGTTTGTTGCCTTTGCTTGTGGCAGCTTCTTGGGGGGTGGGGGGGGGGGTTGCTACTACTATCTGGCTTTGTTTTCTGGCTTTCCAAGTGCTGTGCAGGTTTATGTCGCATCACGGAAGAACCAGCCTTCCAAACTCTTCGGCCTGCCTGTGACGAAGCTTTGTGGTGCTTTACTGTAACTTTAGATCCTTAGCCTTTTTGGGCTTATTGGGTTTCTTCATAAGGTAGCTAAAATGTTAAATTTATAGCTACCCTCCTAAGTGCAGCCACAAGGAATCTGGCCAACCACTACGGGGTCATGCAGGCACACCCGGATCAAGATGGCAATGCACCCTCCACCAACTCCTCGGCCCTGAAGGACCGTGGCATCTGTTCGGAAGCCTTGCAAGGCCCAGGCTCCTTAAGTAAATGGATCAAAGCAAATAGGTATCAAACAAGCACATCGACGAATAAGAAGCATAAATGAATAGATAAATAGATAAATAAATAAATACATATACGTAAATAAATAAATAAAAAAACAAATAAATAAATACATATATATATATATATATAACATATACCCTCAGTCGTATTTCTCCAGGACCAGTTTCAGACGACAAATCTGATCCGCAAGGGGCTGGCCGTGTGGCACTGGATCGGGAAGAGGCAGCCGGCCACAGACTTCGTTTGCCGGCTGGACCCCGACACTCTGTTTCTCGAGTATTCAGCTTAGGTTTCAGACTCCAGGGTTACTTATGCACCAGTATGTGGTGCAGGATGCAAGTCCGAGAGTATCCTAGAGTCATGAAGAACCTGCGGTAAGAAAAACTGTCCCTCCCTGTCACCTCCCCTCGCCCTAGGTTCATGGCCGATCGTTTCCGGCAGTTTGTTCGCCAGCACTGCCTCAGCAACCAGTCCATGGTGTACCTGGGACAGGTGCGGACCGTCCGCGCCTGTGGGGGAGTCTCGTGATATTGGGGGTCAAAAAACCCCAAGCCCAAAAGCCCCCCAAAATGTCAACAAAACCCTACTCACCTTGGCGAGGTGCAGTACTGGATGGCCTGGCAGTCTGGGGCTTTCCCAGACGGCGGCGCGGGAATCTGCTTGCCCTGGGTGGCAGCCCAGGCGTTTACCTCCAAGTTAGAGGGTGTCGTGCACAAGCACCTTGGTGGAAATGATGCAGCACTTTCTGGTGGGCTTCCTCACTACTGTGCAATGTGGCCTGGTCACTGGGATGATGTGGTCACAGGGCTCTGTTTCCAGGAGATGAACCTCCTTCCTTACCGCGGCATCGTGTCTCCGTTGGGACAGACGCTCTTCAACAGCGAGGTGCTCCCGCACCTTTCCGACACTTCTGGACACTGCCTGGGAAGTATTGAAGACTGGCTAGAGCAAGGCCGGCTGCATGACCTCTTTCTGTGCTCCACCAGGTACCGCGATTGCAGTGCTGTAAGACCGCAGTGCTGGGTGAATGACATGGAGGCCATCTCTTTTCACGGATACAAGAATGCCTCGGACCTGCAGCGTGCGTACCGCTACCTGCGCGGGCGATATCCGTCGGCTCGGGACTAGGCCTGGTGTCTGTGGCAAAACCACGAAGATCAGCTCTGGAGCGGCGCCACAAAAACCCGTTCGACTTCATGCGAAAATGGAGCTGCCAGGGGACTTGGTGGCCAAGTTGCTTTTCAAGGTGGCATTTTCGCGCCACGAGGCCTACAATGTGCTGGGAGCATGCTGTCCGCAGATTCCTGCCCTGGCGATGGAAGCTGTAAGGTTCGAAACGCGGGCGGTGGAGGCAGACCTGAAAATGTGCTTCGCAAAACTTGGGGGCACTTGGCAGAGATGACTCAGAGCTGCATAGGTCGAAAGAACCGGCCAGCGGCATACGCTTCGTGCATCCAGGTTTGCTACTCGTAGCTACCTTGTGGGCTTAAATGAACCCTATAGAATCTCGGGCGCCCATGTACAGTTTCTTCCAAAATGGGGAGTATAGCAGCGTTCGGGCTATTGGCCTGCACGACCCTTCGAGAGACTTGGGGTGTCGGGACCTAGAAAACCTCTTCTAACCCCTAAACTTAAACCCTGAAGCGCACAAGGGAGAAGTCTTGTGTTGTGGGTTGAAGGCATTGAGGCCATGTGCTGTGGGTGTCACCGGGGCTTCGTTTCGTAACCTGTCGGGTTGCAGTTGCAGTGCAGGTGTAAATTTTCAGCGGGTTGTTCGAGGTAAACTCCAAGCACCAGACTCACCAGACCTGATAGCTGTCAGGCGTCGGAGGCCCCAAAGCAAGAGCCAGGCCTTTGCTCTTGTGAGGGGGATTGGGAGGTAATGTGTTGGAGGCTTCTTTCAATTAGGGTCACACCGCCGAGCGGAGGAGTCGAACTCTAATACCCTCAGCCCTTACAGAGTGTCGGGCTCCTCTTGATTGAAGACTGGGGATCTCTAACCTTGAGGGGGTTAGGCTCTGGGGATTTCGGGTTTCGGGGTTTAGGAAGTCGTGCCTTCGAAGCCGCGCACTGGTGCTTCACGTTCACCTACCCGAAAGCACCGACACATTATCCTTCGCTGCGTTGCAATGGGGTCTCCTGGATGCCCAGTTTCGCGGATCTTGAAGGACTGAACGAGATGCTACAAATGGTTTGTTCTGCTTGCATTTTTATTTAGGCGGTGTTTGCTTGGCCAGGACAGCAGCTGAGAGTTATGAAAACTCACGACCATTTACTTGGGGATTTGACTGTTCTCTGCATTTCCTCGATTTTGTTAAGGTATGGTTGTTCCAGGCTGCGTCTACTTGTGTCCCTAAAAAGTGGGGGATTATGCGGCAAGGTCGCGACCACGTTCCTTCACAAAGCGACGACTTCGTCATGACGTAAGCTTGGCGGTTCATGGGCACTTTTAAGTAGGGTAATAAGTATGCTAACTATGGTTATAAGCTTATTTAGGGGTACATATATAACCCTCCATACAAGTGCCCATGAACCTCCAAGAAAGTGTTTGCTTGTAGGGCACCGGGACAGGCTTTGAGGGCGAGTCTGGGAGTCCGAAGCCTAGGGCTTCAAGTGATCATTCATCTGTCAGGGCTTCAAGCCCTAAACCCTAAACCCTAAACCCTAAACCCTAAACCCTAAACCCTAAACCCTAAGATAGCGAGGCTCTGAAGCCTTCATAGTCCCCGTGTCGCACCCGCAGAAGGCGCCAGAGAAGCCATCGAAGCCGAGGAGGCTGAGACAAGCGCTGCGGGTTTGGAGTTTAGGTTTAGGTTTATTTGGAGTTTAGGTTTAGGTTTAGGGTTTAGGGTTTAGGGTTTAGGGTTTAGGGTTTAGGGTTTGGGGTTTGGGGCTTGGGGTTTAGGGTCAGGGCTTCAGAAGGTGCAGCTCTTTTGAGTCTGGAGCAAGCGGGCTTGTCCCAAACCCAAAACCCTTCAGGCTTCCTCAGGCTGGCGGAATCAAGCCCCTTAAAAAACCTTCTAGGGCTTAATTAAGGAGGGTTTCGGGTTTAGGGTTTCAAGTCCCAAAAATACCCACCCACCCACCCCAAGAAACCCATGACATTAAGAACATATAAAGTTCACTCAATACATTCCCAGGCGGCTTAATGCTCAAAATCCAGCGGACCCAAAACCCAAGCCTAAACCCTATGACCCTAAACCCTTGACACCCTAAACCCTTGACACCCTAAACTCTGGGGAGGGAAGGGGGGGGGAGGGGGGGATAGGGAAATGGCCATGAAGCAGGCAAACCAGGCAACAATGCCCACAAACCAGGCAAAAATGCCCACGAACCAGGCACGAACCAGGCAAACATGCACGAAGCAGGCAAAAATGCCAACGAAAGAGGCAAAAATGCCCACGAATTAGACATTTGCCTAGTTCGTGGGCATTTGCCTGGATTCGTTGCCGCCCACGGGGGCCATTAAGGTTTAAATTATGATAGGTAAGAGGGGTTTAAGGTTTTGGGTTTTGGGTTTAGGGTTTAGGGTTTCAACCGTTGCGTTTTAGGCGGCTTGGGGTTTTTGCACGTCTTTTTGGGTCCAAGGTGTGGGATTTCTAGTTTAGCATTAAGGGTTTAAGGTTGAGGCTTGTTTTTTTTGAGGGAGGGGGGGGGTTTAGGCAGCTGAAACCATGGAACCATGCACCTCAAATCGCCCCACCGCCTTCGCAAAATACGTGTCGTATTCCCTAAGCACCAGCAAGTGAAAACCAACAAATAGCAGGGGTTTCCTACCCCCCTCTATACTACCCCCTCCCCCCTTGTTCAGGCTATTCGGAATAATTAAGCTTAATCAAGCTTATTTAAGGGGGGACATGAGTAGGGTGGGTAGTATAAAGGGGGGTTGGGGGAAAAAAGCAACAGCTGACTGGAATCAGGCCCTGGCCGCCCTCGCGCCCACCGCCCGAGACCAGCGGCTCCAGGCAACGTGGTGCTGGGTTCCCTTGAGCAGGGCTTCAGGAGTTTAGGGCTTAGGGTTTAGGGTTTAGGGTTTAGGGTTTAGAGTTTGGGGTTTGGGGTTTGGGGTTTGGGGGGGGGCGGGGGCTTCAGGAGTTTAGGTGTCTTCTGCTTGTTGTTCGGGCGAAGAGGTTTAAGGGCCTTGGGGGTTTCAAGGCCGAGAATCGCCAAAAGAGCCATGCCGGCCGAGTGGCCTTGCGCCAGTCACCCAATGTGCAAGGTACGAGGCATCAACCCCAACCCCAAACCCCTAAACCCTAAAACCCTGAAACCCTGAGACCCTGAAACCCTGAGACCCTAAACCCTAAACCCTAAACCCTAAACCCTAAACCCTAAACCCTAAACCCTAAACCCTAAACCCTAAACCCTAAACCCTAAACCCTAAACCCTAAACCCTAAACCCCAAGCCCGAAACCCGGAGAGTTGTAAGTAGGTGGTCTTCGGGTGGGGTGGACAGCTGCGGGGGTGGGATCCATTCTTGGCCAGGTGCATCTTGTATAGTAGGAGGTACCCAAAAGAAGGCCTTACAGCCCAAGCATCCATCAAGAAGGGTACAGAAACACTGCTTCGCCCGAACGCCCCGGGGTGTGGTGCGAGAGAGAAGAATAGGGCCGCCTACACTGCCCACACTCGCGCCTTGCTTGCTCCTTGAAGCTACTTTCGAACGCACTTTGTCGGCCACTCTATGGACTCTAGGACCGACCTCCAACCCGAAAATCTCTGACCCCTCAACCCCAAGCCCTAAACCCCAAACCCCAAACCCTACACCCTAAACCCTGCACCCTGCACCCTAAACCCTAAACCCCCTAAACCCTAGACGCTCATTGCAGGCAGCCGCCGAGGCCACAGCGCCGGCGCCGGCGCAGCCGGCCCGGGAAGAGGTCGAGAGGTGGGGGTCAGGGGGTGTAGGGTTTAGGGGTTTAGGGGTTTAGGGGTTTAGGGGTTTAGGGGTTTAGGGGTTTAGGGGTTTAGGGGTTTAGGGGTTTAGGGGTTTAGGGGTTTAGGGGTTTAGGGGTTTAGGGGTTTAGGGGTTTGGGGTTTAGGGGTTTAGGGGGTTTTTAGGGTTTAGGGTTTAGGGTTTTAGGGTTTTTTTAGGGGGGTTTAGGGGTTTAGGGGTTTAGGGGTTTAGGGTTTAGGGTTTAGGGGTTTAGGGGTTAAGGGGTTTAGGGGTTTTAGGGGTTAGGGGGTTAGGGGGGGGTTTAGGGGTTTAGGGGTTTAGGGGTTTAGGGGTTTAGGGGTTCAGGGGTTTAGGGGTTTAGGGGTTTAGGGAGGGTTTAGGGTTTAGGGTTTAGGGTTTCGGGTTTCGGGTTTGGGGCTTGGGGCTTGGGGCTTGGGGTTTGGGGTTTGGGTGGGAGGGGGCCAAAATCCCAAAATCCACCAAACAAATATGTTCTACTTCGTTCCAGAGATTTCGAGGTTGGAGAGTTATTTTTTTTGAGGGGATGGTGAGGAGGTTTCGGGGTAGAGAGTTAAGTTTTTGGGTGGGGTGTTTTCGCGGTGTTTAAGAGTTGCCGTTTTTCGTTTTGGGTGGGGGGGGGGGAGAAGTTCGGGGGTAGAGAGCTTATGGGAGATTTCTTGTCTTTGGAGGGGCAGGGGGGGGTGTTATATACGGGTGGTTTAGGGACTGCGGATCTATACCCTAAACCCTAAACCCTGTAGCCATTTTGTCGCAAGATTGCGCCAAACGTTCTTGAGTAAGCACCATCGACCGACGATCCCACACTAGGGCGCAGTGCGAGAGACGGCTACAACTGCAGCAGTCGAAGCTGCGGTGCTTTCTCACCTTGCGGGGGAAACCACGCAAGGAGGGATTGAACTAGTGAGGGGCTGCCTGGGGCTGCTTTCGAAAGTATTTTGATAGGCCGGAACGAAACTATGTTGCAGCCTCGACGCAAGATCGCTGGCGCCGCCCGATCAAAGGATCCCTCAAAAAGTATTTAACGGCCATTTTCGGAGTATATTAAGGGGACCGGAGGGTAGACTTTTTTTTTTTTGGTTCGATTTTCTTGGTTTTCCCAAGGAAAACCACCACTCCCTCTATATTTTCACAGGATTTGGTTCATTTTCTTGTTTTTTCGTATGAAAATCCATACTTTCTGTAGGTTTTGACTAGGAACAGAAGAGAAAGAAAGAAGGAATGAATGAAGGAAGGAGGGAAGGAAGGAAAGAAGGAAGGAAGGAAGAAAGGAAGGAAGCAAGGAAGGAAGCAAGGAAGGAAGAAAGGAAGGAAGAAAGGAAGGAAGAAAGGAAGGAAGAAAGGAAGGAAGAAAGGAAGCAAGGGAAGGCAGGGACAAAAAGAAAGAAGAAAAAGAACCTTCGCGGCGCCCGACAGATTCCGGGACCTCTTCGATGCCGGCGTGTAGCTTCATTTTCTCCGACTCTATATTTGAGCAGCGCTCAATCAAACACGCCGCGCCAGAAATGCTGGCTGGCTCATAGGGTTGGGGCGCAGATGCGTGATCACGATGTCATGGCGTCCTGGACTTCGGCAGTTTCGAAGGGTCAGGCACCAAGGAGGTGCATGACATCGTAGAGAACGCCGTCGTCGTTGCCCTACTCAAAAAGCCGCATTGCCTGCACGAGGGCACTGACAGGCTGTGGCTCACCAACGCTTGGGAAGACAGGTTGAAAACCGAAGCGAAAATCGAGGCGGGCTTCAGCAAGTCCATCACAGCCATCGTTAAGGACATGGTCCGCAGTACTTCAGTGTTGAACTTCCTGATGAACACATGTCTGTTCCTTGCGGCGATGAGTGCACTTTTGGCTGCTCTGCCTAAACAGCCCGAAACCCAACCTACACCCTAGACCCTAAACCCTATACCCTGCTAGACCCTCCACAGGGGGCAAGCTGACAGGATGTCCTTTGCAGAGCAGATGGACCTGGCGCTTCGCCTTAGCCGCGCAAGCGAAGCGGAGGATACCTAGAAAGTGCAGGGTTGCCAAGGATGGGATGTCTTCACTGTTGGGGCATAGGGTTTAGGGGCTTTTTCGGTTTCAAGGTTTCCGGAAAATGTGTTGTCGCAGTTGGCAATAGAGTTTAGGATTCAGGATGTAGGGCATGCCCAAAGCATTGGTTCTGAAGCTTGTTGTGTTCATTTAGGGCCTTCTTCAAGGATCAAGGTCAACTATAAGTAGGGTTGTAAGTGCCCTCAGGTTTCTGTTTCGGTTTCCGCTCTTAGCACTACGTATGTGAGTAGCTTGTGCATTGTACCTCTTCTACTCAGCGCAACACCGGATCATGATTTTGAACAACCCCTCGTAGGAGCTTCAAGGGCTAAGAACAATACCCCACCAAGAGCCTGTTCAACTGCAGGCGCCCTGCAGCCCCCAACCCCTAATCCTAAATGCATAAACCCCCTGAACCCTAACCCCCAAATTCCTTAATACCCCAAAAGCCTGACGTCCAGGAGGAGACGCCCACCACGGCGAACAAGACCCCGGCGCCGCCCGACGAGGCAGCCGAGGTGTCTCGGCTTTGGGTTTCAGGGGTATCTCGCAGTTTCGGGGTTCGGGGGTTGGGGTTCGGGAACTTGGGTAGGGTTGCTAGGTTTTGGGGATTCAGGTTTAGGAGGGCCCTAGGGTTGCAGGTTTGTAGGGAAGTGCGAGTCTTTTTTCGAGACCCTAAACTCCCAATTCAGCATGTCTTTACCGAGAGTCAGCAAGAGCGTACAGGTCCTGGTGTGGGTTCAGCCAGTTTTCCGGTGGGGGCAGGCGGGGGGGAGGGGGTGCGCGGGACTCGGGAGGATGGGAGCTTGCGGAGGCCTCGAAAGGGGGAACCCTAAACCCTAAACCCTAAATCCTAAACCCCAAACCCCAAACCCTAAACACTGTTTAGAGCTTCCCCGACCCTTAAGAAGGCCTCAAAGGGGGGGGGGGACCCTGTTTAGTTCTTCCTCGACCCGAGCAGTCGAGGCTGCTTGTGGCCTTTTTTTCAAACGGTCTGCATAGACCCGCAAAAGATATTGAAGGCGCGCCACGCGACAAATTCTTACGATGCCCAAAAGTCTTGTCTTTAAAGCAGATCACCGGACCACCCCAAACCAGTCTTCAAATCCTGAATAGCCGGGCAAACTTGTCTAAACAGAGTGGGCCCAGAAAAAACAGGGCGCAACATACGTTGTTCGTTTTAATTACTGGGGATCTAGGCCCAAAACCGTAGACTTAAGCCCTAAAACCGTAACCCCCAAGACCCTAAACCCTAAACTCCAGGAGGAGGAGAAGGACTGCGAAGGCGTTCTCCTCCGCCTGGTGCCTGGGCTTTCTTGGAGGACTTCTGGTTTAGGGTTGAGGGTTTCGTGAGGCTTTAGGGTTCCAAGTCACAAGCGCCCCTAGCCTAAACCCTTCGTCTATGGGAGGGAGGGGGAATACACATAGTGGAATTCCCCGATATACGGATCCTTTAAGGTACCCCTAACGTCGGAAA